CCCTCCGCTGCTTGGACCCACTGGCGGACCGCTTCGCCTAAGTCGCTGGGGTAGGTGCCGACGCACCAGCGCCAGACCACCGCGGGTGGCCTCCACTCGTCCGTGCTGGCCCTCGGGAAAGCCCGAACCACTGCCTCCTCGGCCGCCACGCAGTCGTCGACGTCGACTCCAGGGAAACGCCCAGGCCGCGCAAGCACCTTCACCAGAGACCCAGCCCTCGCGCCCTGCAGCTGCAGCAGCACTGGCTCGCGGGAGGACAGCCCGTAGCCGCCCAGTGCCAAGCAGGTGGACTCGCACGGCCAGATGCCGGACCCGCGCTGCTCCTTGGGCCAGCCCAGCTTTGGCTCCATGTTGAAGCCAGCTTGCAGAAGCCATGGACGGCACGCGCCCCGTCGACATCCCCTCGCCGCCGACAGCCACGAGCACGTCGAGGTCAATCCCCTGGGGGCCGAGAGAGTCCAGGAAACACAAGGGGGGCACCAGCAGCTCAAACCCAGACACCGCTGCAACGGCGGCCCTCAGCACGCGATGCTTCAGGTCCACGGGTGGCCCCCATTCGATCGGCCTGGCCCGGGGGTCACTGCGCGCGTGGATGGCCATTCCGCCTGAGTTCGCGAACGGGCCCGCCTTGCCAGTGGGCGCCGCCGCCTGCGGCGAGGCCGCGCACCCCAGCCAGCGGGCCCCTCCGCTGGCGCCCGCCAGCCGATGGCAGGCGAGGCGCGCCTGATGCATGGTTACCAGGTGGGCCCAGCACCCGCGGCGCAGGTGGAAAGCCCCCAACACTTCGACGCTCCGACCCCAGATGTTCCCGTTGCAGCCCAACACCTCGCAGCCGTCGCGGAGGCCCGCTGCGGCGCCTTCCTCTACTGGTGGGCGGCCGCTCGCGCCGCTGCCACTCCTGGCCACGTCGACCGGCTGGCCGCCCGCTCGTAGATCAGCGGCCGCAAGGCCGCCGGGAGCCGCCGGAGACGCCGAGCATGACTCGTTCTCTCAGGCGGGCCGACTTGCAGCAAACACTCGGACACACCATTCGCCGAAACAAAGATGCACGACTCCCCCTGCGCCCCGGGCAGGGAGGGGCCCCCGTGACCAGGCGGGCGGATCTGCGGCCTGGAGGCGCCGAAACGCTCGCCCCCCCTCCGTCGCGACAACAGCTCTGAGGGCGGTCGGGCCATGGCGACGCGGGGTTGGGCGGCACTCAGGCCAACCTGCCTCCTCTGCGCCCTCCGCCGAGCCCCCCGCCGAAACAGCAGCGCGCGACTCACCCGGGCGGCCCGCGGGCCGCAGCGCCCCCCCACCCCCCACCCCACGCCGCCCAGACGGCCCCCCGCCGCCCCCGTTGGGAAGCCCAGGGAGCACGCGCCCCCCCCGATGCGCCTCTGCCCACCACGCCGCTCACCTCGGGGCGCCCCCTCGGCCGAGCCCGCAGCCGTTGCTCGCGCCCGCTCGCTGGCAAAGTGGCGTCGACCCTCCTGCTGCACTACTGACGCCCCTGCCCCCACCGACTGGCTTCGAAGCGGCGCCCGGCAGAAGCGCGTCAATAGCGTCGCCCAGCGGCTGGCGGGCGCCGGCGCCTGCGCGCGGCCGCGGCCCCAACATCGACAAGGCACTCGGCTAGGCCGCGGTCGGAGGCGGGCTGGGCTGCCCACACTGCGCTTGCCAGAGCGAGCCCCTGCCTGCGGCGCACCCCACTGCGTCGCCACTCTCGCTCCCGTCGCGGCCCATGGGGCAGCTGCTTTGCGCCCCGACCTCGCGCCGGCGGCCCCCGGGCGGAACCTCGCCGGCTACCTGGGCGGGCCGCGAATGCGCAGCCTCCACGGCCCACGCCGTCTGGACGACGTCCGCCTGCAACGCCTGCTGCGCGAGGAGGCCAGGCACGCGACCGCGCTCGGCGAGCAGCACCGCCCGTCGCCGCCCCTCCGCCTCAGCTGCATCCTGCGCCTCGGCTTCGAGGCTGTGGAAGTGGCGCTCGGCCTCCTCGACCTCGTCATTGCAGGTGGCGAGCTCCTCCTGCGCTGCCGGAACCGCTCCTCGGCCTCCTCGCGCGACTGGCGCTTGGCTTCGAGGGCCTCGCGGTAGCGTTGATGCGCTTCTCAAGCTTGCCTATATCATCGACATCCCTGCGCATCCGCGCCGACCGAGGCAGCACGCACGACTGGGACCCCGGGCTGTCGCACGCGCCTCGGCCAGCTCGCCCCGCCTGCAGAAAAGCTGGGCCTCGACGTCCGCGACGAAGCCGTCGGTGACCCCTGGCGGCGGGTCCGCCAGATGCCCCTCCAGCCGCTACACCGCCTTCGCGGTGCTGCAGTGGGGGGCGTCGCCGCCTCCTGCGCCGCGGCTGCTCACTGGCGGGGCGCTCGCAATGCCCTCCCCGCCGCCCTTGCCTGAGGCCGCCTGGCTCCATCCGCTGGACGCAGAGAGGCCTGCGAGGCCGCCAGGGCTGCCCCCCGGGCACGGTGCCTGGCGGTGCGCCCACGCGGCTGCACACCCCAGCCCTCGGCATCGGCGGCGGACACCGCGAGCGGCGCGGGCGGGGATTCGCTGGCCTCTCGAGCCCTTGACGCGACCCACGGCGATGCCTTCGCACGGCGCCCCAGGCACTGGTCACGCTACGCCCAAGTCCACGCGCGGCAACTCCCCGCACAGCACACCCAGTTCGATCGTGACACAGGGCTGCGCGCCATGGCCGCACGCTCTGGCAACGCTTGTAGCCGCCCGCGGCCCGCTCGCAAACACTCCAAACGTAGATCTGGCTTTCGGCGCGGAGCCCCTCGCGCTCGGAACGCCGCGGGCTGGTCTGCCATGCTGGTTTACCGTGCTGGTCTGCCATGCTGGTTTGCCGAACTGGTTTCTGCCGAACTGATCTCAGTCGTGCAAATATGCCGTGCTGATCTGCCGTGCTGGTTCGCCGTGCTGGTTTACCGTGCTGGCCTGCCGCGCTGGTCAGCCGTGCTGGTCTGTCGCACTGACCGTGCCGGTCAGCCGTGCTGGTCTGCCATGCTGGTCACCCTAGCTGGTCTGCCATGCTGGTCTGCTTTGCTGGTCTGCCGTGTTGGTATGACGTGCTGGTCTATCGTTTGCTGGTCTGCCGTGCTGGTCTTAGCCGTGCTGGTCTTAGCCGTGCTGGTTTGTCGTGCTGGTTTGCCTGGCTGGTCTTAGCCGTGCTGGTCTGCCGTGCTGTTCATCCGTGCTGGTCTGCTGTGCTGGTCTGCCGTGCTGGTCTGCCGTGCTGGTCAACCACGCTGGTCAACCGTGCTGGTCTGAGCCGTGCTGGTCAACCACGCTGGTCAACCGTGCTGGTCTGAGCAGTGCTGGTCTGCCGTGCTGGTCTGCCATGCCAGTCTGCTGTGCTGGTCTGCCGTGCTCTTCTGCCGTGAAGATGTCTCCACGACGGCCCAAGATGCACCCAAGACGGCCCAGATGGCCAAAACGGCCCGAGAGGCCCCCAAGAGGCCTGCAAGGCCAAGAGGCCGCCAAGAGGACCTTCAGTAGAGCCCGAAAAAAATTGATGTTCGTTGGGTGTTTGACGGATTTGGGCGTTCGTTCGTTTTCGGGTTTCCGACCACCCAGACGGCCCAAGATGCTCCCAGGATGACTCCAAGACGGCCCAACAGGGCCCCGAGACAACACAAGGGGCCCCCAAGATGGCACCGCGATGACCGCACGACGGCCCCGCCCAAAGGCGCCCCCAAGACAGCTCCTGACAGCGTCGGACGGGCCAGGAACGCCCTACGATGCGCCAAGAGCCTCCCAACCAAGCAGCCCCCAAAGGCCCGGAACAGGCCCAAGAAAGCCCCCAAGAGACGACCAAGATGCAACCAGGAAGCTGCCAAGCGACCCCGAGGTGCCCCAAGGGATTCCCAAGAGGCCTCCTCATCCTCCTCCGCTTTCCTTCCTCGTCTCCTCTTGTTCTTTCTCCCCAGCGTGTTCCCAGAAAAGTTTCCACAACGCAACGGCCGGGGAAATACGTACATGGTCCGATTGCTTAGCCGAGCTCTGGCCACAACGTTCGATCACATGGGCGCTTCCAAAGAGGCAGGGGGGGCGGTGATTCGCCGTGGGCGTCTTCGATAAACTCTGACACTTTTGTCGTGAAGGAGAGATATGAGGTTCCCGACTCCTCCTCCTCCTCCTCCTCCTCATCCTCCTCCTCCTCCTCCCCTCCTCCTCCTCCTCCTCCTCCTCCTCCTCCTCCTCCTCCTCCTCCTCCTCCTCCTCCTCTTCCTCCTCCTCCTCCTCCTCCTTCCCCCTCCCCCGGCAGCCCGCGACGGATGCCCGGTGGCCCTCGCGCATGCACAAGTCGATCGAAGATCAAATCATCGAGAAGCATCGGCATCGATATTTCGCAGGTTCGTGGGAATTCTGGGTTATTCCTTACGCCACGGCCGAACGCGGCTCGACAAAACTGGGCAAGATGGACCGTGTGAGGGGTCAGAGATTGAACTAAACTGGAAATTCGAAGAGTGCGGACCCCGGACCTCCAACGTCTTGAAAAACATGAGGGTAACGTTTCGTAACTCTCGCGTCCTGGGCTCCAGGACAGTCACAAGCGTTCCTGGATGAAAAAAACGTCCCTGGAATGGATCGGGACTTCCAGGGGCCCACCATTGACAACGGCAGCAACAACAAAAATCGTCGGAGGTTTTCGCCTGGCTGAATGAAGCTGCTCCTTTTCCAGAACTCCGGCTTCGCGGAGAAGTCGTGGAGGCTGGCTTCGCCTCAGACTGGGCATCCCGAAGCCTGTTGTGGGCATCGGTGGCCACCAACAGAAAAACAATCCGAGAATGGGGTCAACAGGTGCGGGGCGGCACGTCGCGAAAACATCATGACGTCGGGCGTCTACCCTACAAGAGGGAGGAGGGGGGCAGGGAGGCAGGGAGGGGCGGGGGCAGGGGCGGAGGGGCAGAGAGAGGGCGAAGGGGGACAGGCACTGGACCCACTCAACCCTCTTGTACCCTCCTCGTTCAGTCTCGGCCCACACCCGTACTCACCCCAAGCTCCTTTGCCTTCACTTTCTTGGCCCATGATGTGGCAGCCCACTGGCCCATGACGTCGTCCTGAAGAATATGGCTGGACTGAAAAGCATAGGAGGAGGAGTATGAAGATCTGATACTTCATGCCTGGCACACCCGATGACCAGGTACAAGATATGGTCAGTGGTCGCCTACTACAGCGCGTGCAGTGTCCAGTACTGCCAGACACTTCGATTTGCACGTCTGCCAGGTACATCACTCAAATGAGAAGGTGCCAGATCATAGCAACGCCACAGCGGATCCGCTCCTGAGGGGTTCAACCCCCATAAGCCTTGCCGCCGAGCTGCAAACGACTTGTACGAAGCAGCTGGCCTGCAAGTCGGCACCTCAAGTGGACACAAACCTGAAAACACCGAACACATAAGAGCCGCTTGCATTTGAATCATGCACCAGAGGAGTTACCCTTGGGCCAGCGAAATACCGCAGCCCCAGCAGACGCACATAAAAGCAAGGAGCTGTTCTGGCTGTGAAATCATAGCCAAGACAACGAGACGGGGGACGGAGAAAGTTGGGTTCGGAGAAGGTAAAGGATGACAAGGACAACGAGGAGCGATGAGGGGGAGGCGGGAGGAGGCTGCAGTGAAGAAGAGGAGGAAGGAGGACTAGCAAGGGGGAGCACGGGGGCAAGATTGTCGCCGAGTCACCGAGTACCCAATTTCCCCTGAAGCTGGGAAAACACAATGGCCACGTCATTTATTCGAAAATCGCAAACGTGTTGTGTATGGAAGTGGAACAAGAGGTCTCTTGGCACACATACGAAGGGCCGACCAACCATCAAGTCGGCTAGTGTCTGTTCCTCTCTCCTCCTACTCCTCCACCTCCTATTTCCCCTCATCATCCTCCTTCTCCTCCTCCTCATCATCAGCAGCAGCACACTTTGTACATAAGCGCCGCGCTCAGGATAGGCCACGACAGTTGCTTTCCGATCCCTGGGAAACCTCGCCTGGGCGATCTGGCGCTCTTGCAGAAATCCGAATTGCCCTGCATAGAGAAACCCTTATGAATTGCCATAAAGGACGCCGAACCCTTTGGCTGGGGACCCATGATAGGAGGACCAAAAACCTTAGGGATAGGCACGGTGTGCTGCAGATGTATCGAAAACAACCCATGTGTTCAATCCCTAGCGCAAAGACTGTGACCTAAGAGAGGCCACGTCTTTTCTGTGATTTTGGGGTTATGGGTTATGTTCTCATCAGTGATCCTCAGGCGGCGCCGCCTGTTATGCATGTCCAGCTTGATTTGCAAGCCCTGCCCTGCGATGCAGGCACTCCTCCTGCCTCCCTTGGCCTCTCCCGCCCCGTCGTCTCAACACATGCCCGCCGATCTCCAGGCGACTCCCACGCCATCAGCCCAGCGCGACCGACATGCCTCCGACAACATAACGAACACTCATACCACATTCATCGGTCAACGTCTCTCCCTCTCTCCAATGTTCAAGATTGGCGGTGGGTACGATGAATTGCACGTCGACCGCAGTCTCCTCCGCGCGTGCCAACTTTGAATTTGGGGGAAAAGGGGCGCGTCGATTCATTGATTTCCTTCTACCGTAGCTGCACCAGGGGGGGCCCAAGCTCGAAAAGGAGGAGCAGCCGCATGAACGGAAATACGAACCGCCGACCACGTGGAAGTGGAAACGTCTGGATAAAGACGTTTACGCTGGGATCAACGCCCTGCAGCAGCAGGAACAGCGGATGCCAGTTAGCGCCTTGAGCCCAACCGGCAACGGTCCACGAACGTCGTGAGTCTTGGCTCCAACTTTCTCATGAATGAAACGAATGCTAAACCTAAACCATGAAAACTGGAATTCCATCACATGGGTCAGATTTTCTTGGCTTAGCAGCCCCCATGCGAGCAGCACTATGTAATCAAGACAGTCGTCCTGCCTGGCAGGACCCAAGGAAAAAGGGAGAGAAGGAGAAAGGGTGCCGGACTCCGGACCCGGAACGACACTACAGAAAGCCGACCAGGACAAGAGCTCAAAGTCTTGACCTAGAGTCTTTCTGGAGGCGGCCTGGGAGCGATCCTTGTTTCCTGGGTTCTGCTTGCGTCGATCCAGCTCCTCGGCCTCGTCTACGAGGACCAGCTTGCCATGGGTGAGCAGACTCGCCAAGGCGGCATTGCCCTTGGATATGTCATCCTTCGTTAAAGCGCCCACGGGCATCCGTCCGCAGGGAATCCAGCGGATGTGTCCGCTGGCCTTTTCCAACGTCTCGCACACCACTACCAGATCCAGCGCCGCCCTCCTGCCCCTGGCACCCTCGTTGCCTTCCTCGAGCACTGTGTCGTAGATGCTCTTGGCGCCCACGACGTGGACCTGCTCGTCACGACCGCCGAGGCGGCAGTTGCTCCTGAAAACGGTAGTGAACGGACCTGTTCCTTGGCAGTAGTCCGAAACGTCCACATGTTGAAACATCATGTCTCGGTACAAAACTTGAAGAAACTCCACTTCCGCCACTGCCGCGGGCAGAGCTTGCGTTTCGCCGGCCAGGGTCGGGGAAACTTTTCGGCGGAGCTCTGAACTCCTCCACCGGAGGGTAGACGCTCGAACCACGCGGTTATCAATCACGCTCTTTTCCGTGGCAAGCGCGATCCACGCGCCCTGCGTGTGATCCTCAGGGAGGCCCCTCTCGCCCACCTGACCTGCGTTCGCCCCGACCCCTTCAGCGTCGGAGATCGACGCGAAGGCCATTCTTTCTGGGTCGAGGCGCCAGATGCTCAGGCCTCTAGAGGCCGTCGCTCAAGTCACGGACCATCTTGTTAGCACAGGACCCATCTCCTACCGTAGGCTGCTCGACCCCGCTGGCCAGGACGCTGGCCGCCCCCGCGGCCTCCGGGCGAGATTCACGCCAGACCCAGTTCAGCCTGTACATAAGTGATCTGATGGCTTCGAACTCTTCCTCATCAAGGGGGGACTTTTTCTGGCCCAGCCGTCCCCGGGCGAGAGTGACAGGTCGGATCTCCCCGAGAATGCACTTTTCCTGGCCCATGGTCGCGCGCCGCAGGCCGACGCGCACAGATCGTCCAGCATGCTCGACGGGCCCCGCGCGACAGTCGCGGCACTTCCCGAAAATGAACCTGCTCTCGAGAGCACCCCTGATCCACTGCCTGGACTCGGACGAGTTGCTGGCTATAAAGAAGTCATCCACCTCCAAGAGAATCACGTTAACTATTTGCCCTCTTGAGTCGTACCGGGTCCACCAACACGGTTCCAGGAGGTTTCGACGCAAGCCCTTGTCTTCCAGAAAACGGACGCTAGTTTTGCGCCACGCTAGATGCGCGTCGTCGAGACCAGAAACGCTGACCTTCAAAAGGATGAGCGAGCCGGGTTCAGACTGGATTCCTTCGCATGGTTCCACGCATCTCTCCTTGTGAACGCTGCATAGGATCCGACTGGCAAAATGCATTCTTGACATCAGCGATGTCACCGGGGAGGGAGAGGTTCATCATCACCTGAATGAGCATATGGATGGATGTAGCCTGGGGAATGGGGGAGTAGACGAACCATGAGCCTGTGTCCGGATCCTGGCGCCCGTGCACACACCAGCGCAACTTTGCCTGAGGCTCTGAAAACGCACCCTCCACGGGCTTCCACCCACGCACCATTCTGCCGGCAATGATGCGCCCAGGACAAGAGCGCTTCACTGCCGCCGCCCCCTTCGGAGGCACAACTTCTACCGCTCCTGACTTGGCCATACTCTGCCACTCCTCATGATCTGAAATCTCGAACTTGCTACGCTCGGCTGGAGAGAGCTTGCCGAGAGACACTTCGCCGCCGCGGCCGGCCGCGAAGACTTCCAGATCAGGTTCGGGCCCCGGGACCTCGGTCAGGGCCACCCCTCCATCGTCTCCTGGCGTCACCCAGAAGCGCGCCCTTCCTCTCGGGAACCGCTCGCGCTCTCCCGACCCGCTGCCGCGGGACATATTCTCAAACTCCTCAATCCTGCGTCCGACGACACCCCGACGCCCCCGGCTAGGCCCGAACTCTGTCGGGCCCACAGGTGAGGAGGGAGAGAAAGACGGAGAAGGGGGGGCAGGAGGGGAGCGGCCGGGGGGAGAGATGGGAATGTCCTCTATGCGGGAGAAGACAGGACCACTTGTCCCGCCGCGTCCCTCTCTGGAGGGTCAAGCCCTGGAGGCGGTTCGATTCTGGCGCGCTTGACGTCGCCCGTCACTGGTGGGCAGCCGGCACTTCGACTTGCCGCCTCGCCAGCCCTACGCCCGAGAATGCAGGCGAGGGCGTCTCCTGGCTGGTCGATCCTAGTTCTGCCTCGAAAGGGGGGCGCCCTGGAGCTCTCGGCTTCGGACTCGAGCGCTCTAGCACGGAGCGGGAGGGGGAGGTGAGTGGAGTCTCCTGGAGAGGCGCCGGGCTGAGCGGCACTGGGCCCCCCAGGCCTCCGCGGGGCCTCGACCTCGCTCTCTCGGTTGCTCCTGCCCCGAGGGGGGGAGGGGGCACCGAGAGAGAGGGGGGCGGCATCGCTGCCGTCGGGGGAAACCTGCCGGGAGTGGCTGCCCACCTCCTCGGAGATAGATGGGAGGCGAATCACTTCAGATCCGGCTCGAGCAACGACCGACCCTCCGCCCGAGGAAGGAGGAGGAGGACCGACCCGAGGCCTAGCCGTCCGAGACCCCCCGACCGGGTCGAGGCTCTGGCCCGCGCCTCCTCCAACCCCAGGCCCAACTGGCTGAAAAACCCGCCCTGGAGACGGTGAAGATACCGCGGGCGCGCTGGGCGCCTGATCGGACCCCGGGACCAGGGCTTGATCTCAAGCCTCGTCGGGAAGCGGACCCTCCCGAGCGGCTCGGTCCACTGCGGATCTTGCGCCGGCTGGACCCCGCGCTCCTCTCCGGGCGAGGCGAGCCGCACCTGTTCAGGGGAGCACTTCCAAAGACGCGCCCCCACCGCGATCCAAGCCGCCCCGCGCTCGGCCAGCACCACGACCCCCGGACCTGTCCAGGCATCGCGGCGCCGGCCGAGAGCGTCGGCCCTAGGACCCGCCTTGGTCATACGCCTCCACACAAACACC